TAAACACGCCGACCGAATGCACTCCGCCGGCCATTTCTTTCGAAATACACCATACACCGTGAAATACCTCGTGATCATGCATCACGAGGGAGAGAAAGGAGGAAGGAGGGGAGGCACAAAACAACGATCGATATGATCGAGAACGTGCGATCGTAAACGTGTGTCGAGCGCCACATTAAAAAGAGTTTAGCCGGCTCATACGAGAGCGTGTCTGGCGCGCTGTTAGTGACATATCGCCGAGGTATGCTAGAGCGATTAAATTAAGCACCGCAGTCTTTTATTGCCCGTGTAATTGAATAATTGGTCGTAATAGAACGCGAAGTGGCGTTCAGCGCGAGCGGATGAGAGGCGGATCGGATCTCCTCCACTTTTCGCCCGCGTATAATTGCTCCGCGATTCGCGCATTCGCTAACGAGATTTCAGCCGCAGTACATACGAGAGTACATACGAGAGAGTCCACAGACAGGCGGCGAATGTTTTCGTCGCTTCATCGAGTCGCCGAGTCGTGAAATGCGAGTCGCGGGCCGGATATATCGTGCGACTTCCGCTTGGTAGCCAAGTGTAGTCTCTCCCAGGTCTAGCGGATCTCCAGCAGCGCGAAGCGCGGATGAGAGAAGAAAGGCGAGCCGTGGAAATTCATCACGGAATTACAGCACAAATGGAAAGCGCGTGTCTCGCTTGCTTTTGTCGCTTTTTTCGGCATTTCTCACCGCGCGCGCGCACTTTCTATCGCGCGTAATCGCGCCGAGAAGTAAGTACATTAACGGAGCGGAGAAATGTTACGCGACACGAAGCCCATGTGGGAGAAACGCTCGAGGACACTCGCGGCGAATATGTACGTGCTGCAGGGGCGGCGGAGGAGGGGGAGGCAGCGCGAAATGGCAGGAGACTGTAACGAGCGCGCATGCAACGCCACGGCGTCTCTACCTGCATGCCAAGGTGCACTTTGTTCAGGTATATAACTACGGGTTTCGAGGCAGGTTCCAGTTCCGGAGGACTCGGTGCTGGGGAGTGGCTTCAGGAACGCCCTCGCTACCTTCCTCCCTACCTCCTCGTCTCCTCGAGCCCCACTCTGTCTGACCAGCCCTTCGGGCTCGGTTCCCCTCTCCTTCTCTGCATTTAATTACTTTGCGCCCGACGGAATATACGCCTAGCTACGAGACACTCCACGTCGAGCGTGCTATCGACGGTTGACGAAGGTCCGCTTGTTAAATTTTCCTTCGGGAATCCGTGTATCGACGCGGGCGCGCTCCCACCCTCCTGCGACTTTTTTTTTCCTTTTTCAAAGACGCGCTCCGGGGCGATTAATAATTTTCGGGATGTATCTCCGGGAATTGAGAGCGCCTGTAGAAACGAATTATTAATCCAGCAGTAAGCGGTAATAACTTTTCGAGCCGAATGGACCAAGAAGGGCAGCGGCGGCGGCGGCGGCGGCGGCGGTGGCGGCGGCGGCGGCGGTGGCGGCGGCGGCGGCGGAGCTCATTACGCGGCTATCTCGTCGTCGATCAATCGAGATATTCGGCGCATGGCGTGTATGATTAATGAGCTACTAGACTAATACATAAGAAATTCTTCCATCATCCTTATTCCGTAGGGCTTGATGGGAGAAAATGGTGGTCTGATGTAATATAAAGCAAGAGCGCGATGCGTGCGTCGGGACAGACCGGGTCGACGACTGGGGATATTAATCGCGATGCTATTTAAGGTCGACGCATGCCACCTCGTGTGACGCGCGGATTCGTGAGCGAAAAAGCTCATGCATTTATGCGAACTCGGGAAATCTATTTCGCGGCTAATCTCCGCTCGCTGCATTCAGCACGATACGTCCGTCCGGCTGTTCGCATTTATTCGCCTCAACCTGCATAATACCCGGTGGCTAACGCACCGAAGATTCGTACGCGGGTGGTCTCGCATTGGCTTGCATCGGCTTCCTCACGTACCGTGAACAATTTCCGCGCGGAGGTGTCTTGGCCACGTCGCTTTATCTCAGTCGAAGCCCAATTTGAAGCTCGGGTCATTTATCATTGCAATATGTGTTACACTTTGCGGTATCGCGTAGAAGATATTAACTTGTCGCTTGGGAGAGTTGTTACCGAGAGTTGTTACATCGATCTCTTGGATTTTTGTTCAGAAATCCGTCGTTAAAATGGTGTGATACGGTGTCGATGACACAGCACAGTATTAATGCTCGTATGAACAATCCTTTCGTACGCATTCGCGAAGCGCATGCACTTGATGCGTATCACAATATCCGCGCCCAGGACCGGTGCTTCGGGGTGAAAAGAAACCGGGAGCGTGTGTGTGTGTGTGTGTGTGGACGTGTGTGGAGCGGAGCGCATGGGTGGAAAAAGGCAGCGTATGCGTTACCGCTGCAGCGCAAGGTGCTTGTACCAATTTGACGAAGCATGATGGATTACACGGCGGCTCGTGTAGAAAAATTTACATCCACGGAATAAATTATCATAGCATTGTCTGAGGAACGCGAGCGCACGCTCGTCGTCGGTCGTCGGTCCTCGGGTGTGCGTTCTTCGGCGCGTTTCGCCGTGGCGAAGCATCGACGGTCGTCGGCCGAGTCGAAATTTCAGCTCTATTCTCGCTCCTGACTGTCCAACATCCACCTGAAGAAACCTGAAGAGGGACCAATAGTTTAATGGATAATTTAGTCTCTATAGAGACAAAAGTCCCGCGCCCAGCGCCTCGAAATAGCAGAAAACGTGCAATTTGCCGCTTGCGGGTTCTTAAGAGACCTCTCGGCAAAACTGCAGGTTTAATCAGATCGACGTAGGTTTCAGAAAACGTGAAATCAGCGTGTTAAACGAAAGAAATGTCGAGGCCAGAGGTAGGATCCGAATTTCAAGCCGGCTAGTTCCGCGCGATCTGACCGGGACGAAACTCATGCGGAACATCGAGACTACGGACTATTATCGTAGACACGCGGATTCCGAGCAACGCTCGCTTCGCGATCGGTACGCGTGATTGCAGATAACCCGACTGGACGGCTCGTTATACTTTTATGCTTATTATTACGGTACGTTACACCCAGCCGAGCGGAAAGCTTCGGGTATACACACACACACACACACATATATATATATATATATAATAATCGTGCAACCGACTATTAGCACCTTCGACACTAAATAACTTTCATCGGGATCGATATTGCGCCGGAAGATATATCAAGTTTCGTTACGCATCGTGAGGCTGAAGTCGTGTAATGGGCGTTCAGCCGACTCGACAACTCCGCCTTCTCAGATATGCCTATGACATTATCTGCGAGCGCGACTATACTATACTATACGAGAATGGAGAAGACCGGACTGGGAGGTGAACGGAAAGACCGTAATGTGTTCTGTGAGAAAACGAGTCAATTCGTTGATCAATCGCCGTTGATCCGGCCAGATATCGAGCGATACGTTACGTAAGGAGTGAGCAGCCTTCGGCGAGTGAGAAATCAACGCGAATTTTTGCGTCGAGCTTCGCTCTATATAAAGAGGTACCGGTCTTGTTACTTGGAACGCACTTTTCTTTTTATTCCTTCTATTCTGTTTTTTTTATTTTCTTTTTCTTTTTCCTTCCTTTCGCTCTCTTCCTTTTCTCGATACCTGGGTAAACGGAGGGTACACCGGTGTATTGAGACGGGATACGACAGGAGGACGTCGGAGTTTGTAGAGGGACAGCGCGAAATTGGGATTGGTGGGGACCTCTCGATATAGAGAGGGACGCATGCGTGAGCGCATAAAACTGAACATCTGCCACGTGCGCGGGCGGCGCATAGTGCGTGGATCTGTGCGTGGATGCCGTGCGTGGACTGAAATCTCGAGGGGGGAAGATCGTGAAAGCATGGCCGCATCCGCCATGCGTGTGCGCAGCCCAGCAGGCGCGGTCGATTATTATTATTTTTTTTTTCCTGCCCTCTCTCGGCCGCAATATCGAAATGTTCATTAGCGAATAGAGCAGCGTTTTAGAAGCTGTTTTCGAAGCGCGTGCGCCGGATACGCTTTTGCGAAATTTCATTACATTCGCGGCAAGTTCCAAAGGTAGAAAGCGCCGAGTCCCCTCCGCGAGTGACATCGACGTTTCCTTTTATTGTTTTTCGACTGGGTGAACTCATTAGAGATAGTGCTTCAGGTATTTATCCAAGAATTTCTTACGCCGTGCGTGTGATATCGGAGGTGTTATATCGCGCGGAGATCTCCGCGCCAAAGTGTTCGCCGGTCATCGTAGCGGCCCGCCAAATCGTTATGTTATCACACGAAGATCCTACAATTTGCACGACTCTTTTTGTCATATTTTTACTCGAAAAATATTCAAGGGGAAAATACTTGGGTTATTTATACCTCTGAACGGTCGCGCATCAGTAATTCAGCAAAATATGAAAGATCTCAGGGAATTCTTGAGTCATTAAACTGCAGTTGCGTAACAGTCAATTCCAGAGTGAACCCTCACGAGAGAAATGCAATGCCGGACGAGGCGGTGCACATTTTACTTTCATGTCTCGCAATTGCA